TTTTAGTAGAGACGGGGTTTCACCATGTTGACCAGGATGGTCTCGATCTCTTGACCTCGTGATCCACCCGCCTTGGCCTCCCACAGTGCTGGGATTACAGGCTTGAGCCACCGCGCCCAGCCTAGTGCTACACACTTTTAAACAAGCAGGTCTTTATGAGAACTAACTATCATGAGAACAGCAAGGAGGAAATCTGCCCCCATTGATCCATTTACCTCCCACCAGGTCCTTCTCCTAACATTGGGAATTGCAATTGCACGAGATTTGGGTGGAGACACAGAGCCAAACCATTATCAGATTCTTTTTTGAGACAGGGTCTTACTCCACTACCCAGCCTGCAGTGCAGTGGTGTGGTCACAGCTCACTGTAGTCTCAAACTCCCAGGCTTAAGAGATCCTTCTGCCTTATTCCTGACTCTCCCTCCTGAGAAGCTGGAACTAAAGGCCCGTGCCACCACACCTGGCTAATTTTTTCATTATTATTCGCAGACATGGGTTGCCCAGGCTGGTCTTGAACTCTTAGGCTCAAGCAATTCTCCTGCCTCAGCCTTCCAAAAGTGGTGAAATTACAGGTGTGAGCCACTTTGTCCATCCAAACATCTTGCTCAAACTGGATCCTACAATGACAGAGAAAAGCCCAAGGTCAGGGGCTCAAGAGATCATGATTTTCACTGTGTCAAGCAAAGTCTGTGGTGCACTTTTCTGTACTGGCTTGTACTCAAACACAACCCTCTGGAGAACACAAGTCAGCCTGGTCCCCTTTCGTCCATCACCTCACCCTGGGACACAGCACAACCCCATCCTGACTTCAGATGGTTCAGCAAGCATCCCTGCTTGTCCTCCATGCCCATGCACCTCTCACCATGAGATCATCATCTCCACATGGGTGTGTGTGGTGGGGGCTTTGTCTAAATGCTTTTTCAGGGCCACTCTTCCCTTCTCCCCTCCCTGCCTCCATTACCTACCTACTCATTCCTCTCTCAGGACTGGCTGCCCTGTGAGAGGCATCAGGGTGGGCCCTGTGACACAGCTAACAGAGGCCCACCCCGATTGGCTGCCTCATAGGAGACAGCAAGTGCCATGGAGGCCACAGCGGATGCCAGACACAAGAAAAGACACACATGGAAGGATGGCTGCCTGAAGCCCCTCACCAGCTGGGCTGAGAATCCAGACCTCAGAAAACCAGTACCATGGAGACACCAGGTCACACACTCATCAATCTTGATCCTGCCAATAAAATGGGCCTGGCTCACTCCAGTCCTGGACTGACTCATCACTAATCTTCACTATCGGGGCATTTGTCCGTACTCCCAGGAGAGGAATTTATCTAGAGGCAGAATCCCAAGGGGATCCACTCACACGGCTTTGAGGATGTGTCATCCACCTTGACTAGTTTTACTCGGCCAGTACTGGCAAGCCTCTGAAGGGCCACTCCAGTCATCCCAAATTTTTCCATGGCTTCCTGTTACCCATTCTCTGGGACCTACTCTGTCCTCCACACTGACACTCCCTTATAACCCAAGTCCCAGAAAAGGAAGTTATTCTCATGCCCTGGGCTTCGGGATGCTGATTCCAGAAAAGCCACTGCCCAATGCCCCTCCATCCACACTTACAGCTTCCCTGTTGCCTGATCCAGTCCCTAATACTACAGGAGGTCCAGAGAAACCCCATATTAACCTCTTTATGGCTCCACTTTTTATTACCAAATCATTATGCTAACAAGTATTTGTAACAGAGAAAAAATACCATACAAAACTCCAGTCCCCAAAGAAAACCACATTTTATTTCTCCGCCATCCCCTTTCAGTCTACATCCATATGTGCACATATCTTCTATATGGCTGTAATAATAGTAAATCTTCTATTTTATGCCTCTTTTGCCATATTATAAACATTTTCAACATGGCAATAAAACCTTTACAATGGTTCACAGTGGCTGAATTGGAAGCATCCTAAATGAACCACCATGGTGGTAGTGGTGGGGCGACAACATAAACATAACAACTCAGTATTTCTGTTTCAACAACTAAAGCAACAAACCACATCTCTTGGAAGCAGCCCTTTCCATCTTAGCACAAGCTTTTTCAGTCTTTTTTTTTTTTTCTTTTTTGATGGAGTTTCACTCTGTCACCCAGGCTGGAGTGCAGTGGCGGGATCTTGGCTCACTGTAACCTCCGCCTCCCAGGTTCAAGCAATTCTCCCGCTCAGCTTCCTGAGTAGCTGGGATTACAGGCACATGCCACCATGTCTGGCAAATTTTTGTATTTTTTTTGTAGAGATGGGGTTTCACCATGCTGGCAAGGCTGGTCTTGAACTCCTGACCTCATGATCCAGCTGCCTCAGCCTCCCAAAATGCTGGGATACAGTCATGAGCCATCGAACCCGGCCTGCTTGTTTCAGTCACAGGGGGAACGACTTCACTGTTCATTCACAGGTAATTTATTCATCTAGATGCCCTCCTGCAACAAGTCCTCAGCATTCTTGTAGAGTATAATGCAGAAATACATTGAAACAACAAAATTTCAAACATTCTGTGGTGGTGTGTAGTGCAGCACTGTGTGGACTCTAATTATACACCTTTGCTGATACAGAAAACACTGTAAGAGACACTGCCAAAAGCCTCTCTGCCTGATTACATTCAAAAAGCTTGACTCAGTTGCTTAAATCTGGGAGGTGGAGGTTGCAGTGAGCCAAGATCACACCACCGCACTGCACCCTGGCAACAGAGCAAGACTGCGTCTCAAAAAAACCAAAAACAAACAAACAAACAAACAGTTGAATCAGGCCAGGCGCGGTGGCTCACATCTGTAATCCCAGCACTTTGGGAGGCCAAGGCAGGCAGGTCATAAGGTCAGGAGTTCAAGACCAGCCTGGTCAACATAGTGAAACTCCATCTCTACTAAAAATACAAAAACTTAGCTGGGCGTGGTGGCACACACCTGTAATCTTAGCTACTCAGGAGGCGGAGGCAGGAGAACTGCTTGAACCCGGGAGGGGAGGTTGCAGTGAGTGGAGATTGCCCCACAACACTTCAGCCTGGGCACAGCTCAAGACTCCATCTCAAAAAAAAAAAAAGTTGATTCATTGAAAGTCTGCTTATGTACAATAAGGTGGAAACTCCCTACTACAGAGGTCCTCATATCAATCATATTCTGAATGCATTCACAGGCTCTCTCTAGCTAAGCATTCTGATGTGGAGGTGAGTGAATATCCTAAGTTAGTGTCACGTTCATGGTTTGCAGGTTTCATTCCAGTGTATGTATTGTCATCTCTGGTATAGGCTGAATTATCCCCAATAACTATTCTGCATTTACTATCATCCTAAGTTGCCTCCCAAGTTCTCCAATGAGCAGACTTAACACTGTGGTTCAGCAATGTCTCACATTCATCAATTCACTGAATAGCTTTAAGGATTCTTTTCTACTGACCAGAGAGGAGTCAGATCTAAGACACGCCTCCTAAACACAGGTGTGAAAACAAACTGGAAGAATCATGTGGCCCCCAATCATTATGTTTCCATGGGTTGCTCTCCCAGGTGTGCTCGTTGATGTCGGACAAGGGAGGAGCTCTTTTGGAACGTTTTTCCACACTGAGGACACTGGCTGGGACCTTCTCTGCTATGCAGTCTCTGATGTACTGCCAGGTGAGAGTTCTGCTTGAAGGACTTCCCACATTCTGGACACTGATATGGGGTCTCCTTAGTGTGAATTCTCTGGTGCTTGGTCAGACAGGAGCTGTCCCTGAAGGCTTTGCCACACTGATTACACTCATAAGGCTTCTCACCAGTATGAGTCCTCTGGTGCCTGATGAGGCCAGCAATGTTCCTGAAAAGTTTCTGACACTGGTTGCAGCCATAGGGCTTCTCGCCAGTATGAATCCTCTGGTGCCTGATCAGGTATGCACTCTCAATGAAAGTCTTCCCACATTCTTTACATTCATAGGGTTTCTCCCCAGAATGGATCTTTTGATGCACAATGAGATGAGAGTTTCTGTTGAAGGATTTCCCACACTCTGCACACTCAAAGGGCTTTTCTCCAGTATGAGTCCTTTCATGCTGGGTGAGGTACGAGCCGTCCCGGAAAGCCTTTCCACATTTGCTACACTCATAGGGCTTCTCACCGGTGTGGATTCGGAGATGCACTGTAAGGTGGGAGATGTCAGTGAAGGGTTTTCCACACTCGTTACATCTATACGGTTTTTCCCCTGTATGAGTTCTTTGGTGCAAAATTAGGGATGAATTTCGGTTGAAGGTTTTTCCACATTCTAGGCATTCATAAGGTTTCTCACCTGTGTGAATTCTCTGGTGCTGTGTCAGAGCTGACCCATCACTGAAAGCTTTCCCACATTTACTGCATTTATAGGGCTTTTCTCCTGTGTGGATCCTTTGATGTACAATCAGGTTGTAGTTCTTGGAGAACGACTTTCCACACTCATTACAAGTGTAAGGCTTCTCTCCAGTATGAGTTCGGTGATGCAAAACAAGAGAAGAGTTCCGTTTGAAGCATTTGCCACATTCAGTACATTTATATTGTTTCTCTCCTGGGAGACTCCTCTGGTTTTCATTACGTGATGAGCTCAGGGTAAAGATGTCCTCAAAATCCTTACCTTCATACAGTTTCTTGCCTCTTTTCATTATTTTCTGATGACTAAGAGCGGTAAAATGATTAAAAGACTTAACACTTTCAGGGTATTTGTAGGGTTTCTCTCTCATTGAATTTCTTCCATGAGTAAATTCCATGGAATGGTTGAAGGCTTTTCCACAGGCATCGCTGTCACTAGTTCTCTTAGCTGCATAACTTTTGGGACAGCTGTGTAAGGCGGAGTCACGATCCAGACCACTAACATTTGAGTCATGTGCATGGAAACCATTTGTTGCAAGAACTCTCTGAGATGGTGGAAGGTCTGAGCTTGCAAACAAATGCTCCCCAAAACTAGGATATTCACAAATTGCTTCCTGAGGCCCTGGTTTCTGCAGAGTTAAAGCTGATTGCCTCAAGTGTCCCTCCTGGTTCTCACAGTCCCAACCACCACCTAAAATGGACAAACAGGGAGCTTCCTTTGTGAATCCTTCCATTTCTATACCACAGGGTATTTCTCTTTCAGAAATATTCCGAGTTGTCATTTTCAATCTCATATCCCAAACTGCAAAGAGAGGAAAAATGCAGACTTAGGTATATGAAGCTATATGAATAAGAGAAACAGACAATGATGATGGGCTAGGTGTGAAGATGCGTATTTTTTTACTTGCTTTCTTTTTTAAATTCAAATTTATACAAGGAAGAGGAAAAACAACAGCCAAGGAATAGAACCAAAAACAGATTCAAAAAGACCCATGTAGCATCTTCATTTTCCTAGACAGCAGGCAAAAGGAATGGTCCTGGGGATAAATAATCACCAAAAGGATTAGTTTGAGATATGCAAGACCAGAGCCCAAGCATCCCTGCTCACCCTAGAATTCTGTCACAGACACTGCCTTGTTGTCCCCATCACGCACTGCCCATCAATACACATTTCCACAGCTTTGACTTCACAACGAGCAAATAACAGCACTGAAGGAGCAATTCTTACCCAGCTCTGTGGTCAAAGTTTTGCATTCATGGATAGGACAAAGCATAGGCCTGGTGACCTAAAAGTTCTAGATCCAAGTCTTAGAACAGTCAATAACCTGGCCGGGTGCAGTGGCTCATGCCTGTAATCCCAGCACTTTGGGAGGCTGAGGCAGGTGGATCATTTGAGGTCAGGAGTTTGAGACCAGCTTGACCAACACAGTGAAACCCCGTCTCTACTAAAAATACAAAAAAATTAGCTGGGCATAGCGGCACATGCTTGTAGTCCCAGATACTCGGGAGGCTAAGGCAGGAGAATCGCTTGTACCCAGTAAGTGGAGGTTGTGGTAAGCCAAGATCACACTACTGCACTCCACCCTGGGAGACAGAGTGACACTCCATCTCAAAAAAAACAAAACAAAACAAAACAAAAACTGTATGACTGCCCTGCAGGGTTTTTATGAAAACTGGATCATGTCTGAGGCAGTCTCCAAGGCTAGGGAATGAAGGGCACTTTATAAATGCTGAATGTGTCTTCGTCAATATCAATCTTCCCATCACCATCTTCGTCCACTCAGACTTCACAATATTAAGACAACTAGTTGTCCATTCATTTATTCTTCATTCCTTCAGTGAGATAGAATCTTGCTCTGTCATCCAGGCTAAAGTGCAGTGGTGTGATCTTGGCTCACTGAGGCCTGAACCTCACAAACTTAAGCCATTATCCCACCTCAGCCTCCCAAAATACTGCAAATACAGGCATGAGCCACTGTGCCGAGCCTTCTTTTTTTTTTTTGAGATGGAGTCTCGCACTGTAGCCCAGGCTGTAGTGTAGTGGTGTGATCTCAGCTCACTGCAATCTCCATTTCCTGGGTTCAAGCAATTCTCCTGCCTCAGCCTCCTGAGTAGCTGGGACTACAGGTATGCACCACCATGCCCGCTAATTTTTTTTTGTATTTTTAGAAGAGACGGGGTTTCATCATATTGACTAGGATGGTTCTGATCTTCTGACCTCGTGATCTGCCCCCCTCGGCCTCCCAAAGTGGTGAGATTACAGGCATGAGCCACTGTATGAGGCCTAATATTTTTAAAAGTAAAATGAAAATAGACCCTTGCCTCAGAATACATACATACGTATATGTGTATAGTCTAGGCAATTTAAATATATATCCATGTATGTATGTGTATTCAAATTTCAGATGGATACAGGCCACAACAAAAAGTCAAAGTTTAAACTATGCGGTATGCCTTCATGAGTGTGGCAGACTTTAATAAACAAAGCTTAACCAAAAAAAACCATATGGTCAAGCACTGGGAGGGGGTCACGCCTGCAATCCCAGCACTCTGGGAGACTGAGATTGCAGTAAGCTGTAATTGTGCCAAGGGGTGCATTCCAATTAGGCAAAAGAGACTATGTCTTCAAAACAAAAAATAAAAAACAGACAAGGATTAACAAGTCTGATATCAACATTCAAATTTTCTATCCAATAAAAGACACAATAAGAGACAAAAGCAAGTGGCAGATGGAGAGAAAATAAGACATAAAAGTGACAAAGGATTACTGCCCAAGAGCTATAGAGGATTCTTACAGAACAGCACAAAAAAGAATGAGCAAAGTAATCAAAGATGCATTTCATAAAGGGAAAATAGAAATGTCCTGAAAACATAAAGATTTTTCTCATTCTATCATTCAGGCAATTCCAACTGTGACTGTAAGAACACAAAACATGCACATTTCATATGAGTACAGATAAAATGAAGTACGATAATATAAAGCTTTGGGACGTCATGTGGTAAAAGGGCTTGTAAAGTGGTCTGTGTGCTTGGCAGGGTAACTTAGTGGCAGCCGTGAAAACATAAATTCAGGCTGGGCGCAGTGGCTGACACCTGTAATCCCAGCATTGTGGAAGGCTGAGGCAAATGGATCACCTGAGTTCACGGGTTTGAGACCAGCCTTGACAACATGATGAAGCCCCGTCTATACTAAAAATACAAAAATTAGCCAGGCATGGTGGTGTGCGCCTGTAATCCCAGCTACTTGGGAGGCTGAGGCAGGAGAATCACCTGAACCCAGAAGGTGGAGGGTGCAGTGAGCTGAGATTGTGCCACTGCACTCCAGCCTGGGCAACAGAGTGAGACTCCGTCTCAAAACAAAAACATATATTAGGTATATTCTACCACCAAGCAGTTCCACTGGTAGGTATATGAGATTCAGAAAGCTGGATAAATGAAAATCAATTCGTACCTACAGAGATGGTCTTAAAGGCCAGCAGGGATAAAACAAACCACTAGTGGGCCGGGCGCGGTGGCTCACGCCTGTAATCCCAGCACTTTGGGAGGCCGAGGCGGGTGGATCACAAGGTCAAGAGATCGAGACCATCCTGGTCAACATGGTGAAACCCCGTCTCTACT